CTGTTGAATCAGCAAGGGCTTTAAAAGTAATAGTTCTCAGCATTGGTAAATTCATGGTAAGACTGAAGCACCTTCCACTTCAATTTATGTGAAAGTTAGCACACAGCCTTCAAAACATGCATGCTCCTTTACCCAGTAGTTCCACTTGAAGTAAATTCTAGACAAGGTAAAATCCAACAATAAGAGAATGGTTACAATGATTTCTTTTTAATTATTTTAAAATTGCTTTAAATACTTGACTATGAGCTAAGCACAAATTTGAGATCTTTGCCTGTATTTTGTCATTTTATCCTCACCACAACTCTGTGAGGCAATACTGTTACTCCCTTCTTACAAAGGCGGAAAGTGAGGTACAGAAAAGCTAAGGAACTTACTTGCCCAAGGGCATGCAGACAGGAGTGGCTCCAACTCCAGAGCCAGGCCCTGAGCCACTATGCTGAGTTCTGACAAAGAGTTGGAGCAGCAGGCAGAGCTATATAAAACACAAGACAATTTCAAGAAAGAAAAAACAATGGTGGGGACATAAAACAGAGCTAGGAATGAGGCTAATATACCTGTCATTCGACGTAATCCCTTGCTATAAGAGGGCCATATATTTGCCTTGAAGCTTTCTTTTCTAGCAGCCAGTAGATAAAGGGAAATCTAATCAGCCATACAGTTTACAGTACTCATGAGATAAAAGCAGATCAATTATTCTGAAGAAGACCAACTATTCTTGGTTGTAAGGCCAGACACAGATTTATTCCAGAGAACACAGAAGGTTCTCATAGAAAGAGATACTATATGAGGTCATGGCTAATGACCTCAATGGCATCCTTGTGTAGACAAGATGACCACTTCCTTTGGGTGAGTCTTCCAGCTTTCCTCACAGGGCCTCATTCTCTGCCTGCCTGGAGATTATCGAGTACTTGAGAGTGAGTGGGCTGGTATCCTTCAAATAATCATCCCTTTGATCAGTGTTGTGGGGCATGAGGTTGAGATTGTGCTTTTCAACAAGTACCTAGGATTCGGCTTTTCTATTTGTTGGTTTCACGTACCTTAAGGACCATGGGAATGGAGGCAGGAATGATTTTAAAATATTATAATATGAAATGGTCAAGTATGTAGCTATTAAAGATGATGCTTAGAAACTATTTTGATAACAAAAATGTCTCAGGCTAAAATGTTTAATGAATAGAGCAGGATACAAAACTATATGACCTCACTTATATTTAAGATGTATGTAGCAAGACATGAATCTTTTGTTTTTCTTAATATAGAATCTTATTTGTTTTCTTATTTACCACAATAGAAGAATGGAAGACACTTTCTGGGTGGATTGGAATATCTCAGAAAGAGGCACCAGTTTTCAGTTGCTAATTGCTGGGGTCCTAGATTTGCCTGTCCACCCAATCAAGGGAAAAGAAGAAGAAACAGGTTTTGTTTTGATTTGATTTGTTTAGTGTGTGGGAGTATATGGGGGAAGTGGCATAAAAGCCAGGTGGGGGAAACACATTGAGGAGAAGGAGCAACAAGCAGATTTCTGCAGAGGCCTTCAAAAACCTAGAAGCTAATCTCTGGAGTTGCCCACGGAGAGATGGGGTCCAGGACTAGGAGATTTCTGTGCCCAGTAGAGGATTGGAAGCTGAGCCTTCATACCCTATCAGTTACACTTTTACTTTAATAGCAATGTGTCCATGATCAGAGTCCCAGGGTCTATACTCGTTTCTTCTCAGTAAGTTCATCGAGCATCCTTACTAACCAGTATTTTGAACTCTGCATCTAGTAGATAGCCTGTCTCCATTTTGCTTAGTTCTTTTTCTGGAGTTTAGTTCTGTTTCATTTGGGACATTTCTTTGTCTCCTCATTTTGGTAGCTTCCCTGTAGGACTTACTTCAGTGGGGCTCTGGTGCCCCAAGTCTTCCTGTGAGTGTGTTGCCTGTGGACGTGGTTGGTCTGGTGCTCTGATGTGGTCTGAAGCTGTCCACCGGGCGTGATAGCTCTGGGGCCTCCCCGGAGGTGCAGGCTAAGATTAGTCACCGCCTGTGTTCTGTCCGGGGCCTCCTGCATAACCTGCAAAGCGATCTGCAGATGGTTGCTACTTGTCCTGGACTTGGAGGAATCCAGGAAAGGCCAAGTTGTGAACCAAGGCTGGCTGCCGCTAGCACCAGGCCTGGGGCCACTTAGTGAGAGGTATGCAGCATGCTGAGGCCAGAAGTTGCTTGTTTGAGAGATTTTAGGAAAGTCCGAGGCATGAGCAAAGACAGGCCATCTGTATGGAAGAGCCACTGGAAGCAGGTTGGCTGGGCCTAAAATTTGCATGTGAGAGAATAAGACAATACAATATTTATGCTGACAAAGTTGGTGAGAGGTTGGTTTGAGGTACCAAGTCACAAAATACAATTTTTCCTACATATTTGCAAGTAAGAAGTGTTTACAGGTAATTGGAGGCTGGTAGGATAAAGATATATGAAGGAATCCTACTTCCAGGAATGGCTTAAGAATTGATTTTCTAGATACTTGTCATTGATATATATATATATATATATCTACCTATTTACCTATACCTATACTCATACCTATATTTCTATTTTTATGTCTTATATACATGAATATATGACATATACATGAGAACAAGAGAAATGTAGCTATGCAGTACAAGAAGAGTATGGTATACAGTATAAGGAAATAAAGCTTTCTTTAAGTTAAATACCTACATAGAAAGGATCAAAGTTGTAATAAGCAATATCTTAAAGTGTTAGAATAGTGTACGTGTCTGAACGAAGTCAGACTGAGTGTATTAATAGAAGTTTATCAGTCAGAAAAACGGTACAGGGTGGAAGGTGGGGAGTGCACGGGAATGGAACTTAGAAAAAGGAAAGTCACAGAGGCAAACTCCATTTTTTGTGCTAGCCAAAGGGAAGGGAGGCACAGGCAATGTACTCCAAGCGTTATGATTCTTTGTGGAGTAAGGGATGGGCGAGGAGCATACTCCCCATAAAGGATGGGAGAGAGGCAGTTTAGCTAACTGCACTTACAGGTTTCATCTCTTCTCAGCAGTTCATGATCATTCATCACTGTGATAGAAGGTGAGCACGACAGGAACATACAGGAGGGACTTTCTCAATTGTCATGTGAGATCAAGGCAGCATAGGTGACATGAAGTGATCGTTATTATCCCTGTTTCTTTGCCAGGTTGGGTTCCTGGTGGTTGCAGATTTCAAGTATTTCCTTTTCTTTCTTTCTTTCACTTATCAGACAATATTATGTTGTAATTGTCAGCATCTGGAAAGAAGATTTCTTGTCTGTTTCGGAGGCAGTGAAAATCACATTCAGAGAGTCTATTTATTAGTCAAGGCTTTGTAAGGGTGTTGCCATTTGCTTTTCTTCCCACATCATCAGCATCTGTCTTTTTTTCTTTACCACGAACACAATGATGGGAGAGTGGAGTCCTGCTTTCGACGTCAGAAAGCTCATGTGTGTGAATGTGTGCGTGTGTTGAACAACTGACCACTGAGAAACAGTTGTGGAATAAGTGACACTCAGGAGAGGGGAGGAACTGGTCAGACCCTCGGTCTATTGGTCCCATGGCTTCCTAGTTACACAGAAATTGTCCCTTTTCCATTCTTACCTTTCTTGGTTGTTTTCCATCATTATCTCTTCTCTATTCTTTACTCTCTTTCACTGACTTAGCATTCACCTTCTCTTGTGACTCTTCATCATCACTCTTCATACTGATTAAAGTGGGTGTATTAAGAGTATATAATATTTAGTTGCTGGGTTTGTATTAGTAATGAGTGAAGGTGAAGCCAACATAATGATCCAATTCAGGGCTATGATTCAGTTTTGGCTTCACCACTTAAGAGTTGCCTGACTTTTGGAAATTGCTCAACTTTGTCTTTTACCACCTGTGATTTGAGGATAATGGTTTTTACCTCAGAGTTGTTGTTAGGGTGGGAGAGAATGCATGTGCTATGCTCACAAGAAGGCTTGGAGCATGGTCTCAAGAACTATTAGCTCTTATTATTTGAAAAAAAAAAACACTTATTGTAGGGTATTGTTGATACTGTATTTAGGAAACTTCATGCAGCTTTCCTTTATTGGAGAATCCATAAAGTAGACCTACTGGGGAAAGAAATAATGGCACCTACAGGCTTCCTGGGTGCATGCATCATAGAGTTCTTTCCCCCCTGAGTATTGATCTTGTGACAAGCTGGGCATAGAAAGCTCGGAGGAGGGCAGGCAAGGGCCTTCCTCAGGTGGGAATAAGCTTGTTCAGTATGAGGTGAACCAGGTCAAGGTAGGGTGGAGGGAAAGGGAAGATGAGAGGGGGCGGAAGCTGGCGCCCTGGGGGCGGCTGGCAGGCTTCAGAAGCAAAGCGTTTGGGTGCAGGAGGCCCGGGAAGAATGCTGAGAACTCAGACCAGAAGGATGCTCGAGCAGGAGCCGTTTGGTGTCTGCTGGCTTTTCTTTGAGGGAAGGCTCCGTGTCCACGCAGTTTGCAGAGTTAGGGCTCCCTTGACAGCGAAAGAGCAGGGGCACCCACGCCACTGCCAGGAGCTTTGACGCCCACCCGGGCAAAAAGCTGGGGGAGGAACTCCTCGCCCTCTGAGGGCGGGGCGGGCGGGGCAGGGCGGAGTCTCCTTCCCCTGCGGGTCTTGCCGGGTCCTGCTGCATCCTGTTCCTCGGCCTCCATCCTGCGCGCCCGCCGTGCCGTCGGCAGTGTCCCTGCCGGGCGGGACACGCCTCGGGATGTTTCTGTTGGATCCTTCCCTCCTCCCCCTGCGCTGACTCCATCCGTCTCCCCGCCCCCTGCTCGGAACCCCGGCCAGGCGCGCAGGGGGGGAGTGGGCCCGGGACTGCATCATTCTGCACCGGCTGCCGCACAGCCAGAGGGAGCAGGTGGAGCAGGCGAGCGAGAGGAGAGCCCGGGCGCGCGGGTCCGGAGACTGCAGTGACGCTGCCCGGGAGACATGGCGGCCAGGCGCCTCTGAATAAGCAGAATACCGAGCCCCTCTCCGCCCGGGCCGCCGCAGCCAGGGCCATGCCGCACGGCCGCTGACCACGCAGGGGCGGCCCAGAGGACACATGCCGCAGCTGCCGCCTCGCCTCTGATCCTCTGCCCTGCGTTCCCCATGTTGCATTTCACATCAGTTTCTCGGGTGGTGTAGCTGCCGCCGCCAGAAGAGCAGGCAGGACGTTGCTCTGCTCGTTCATCAAGCCACACTTTGCTTTTCCATTTTTTCCCCTTCCCTCTTCATCTCCTTCTCCCTTGCCCTGCCTGCTTTGCATCCATCTCCCTGTCCTGTGACGCCCCTCCTGCCTCCATCTACCAGGGCTATGGCCGCAGAAGAGGTGTTGCAGACGGTGGACCATTATAAGGCTGAGATAGAGAGACTGACCAAGGAGCTCACAGAGACGACCCATGAGAAGATCCAGGCTGCTGAATACGGGCTGGTGGTCCTGGAAGAGAAGCTGACTCTCAAGCAGCAGTATGATGAGCTGGAGGCTGAGTACGACGGCCTCAAACAGGAGCTGGAGCAGCTGAAAGAGGTGAGTTGCCTGTCACCTCTTCCCTCCTCGGGCCCGTGCCCTTACCCCCAAGGTACCCCCCACACCCCCTTATCGTTTGTAAAGCCGTCGGAAAGGATGCTATGGAAAGGATTGTTTCTTCATCTTAGAGCCTTTTGTTGATAAGAGAAGATTGAAAGAGTCCATTGTTTTCCCCACAAGAGAAAAAATGCCCAGGAAATGAATGTATAAACTGGAACTTGGGAGGCAGGGGCTGTGGGGGAGGGAGATGCATTAAGAGTCTTCAAGTCTCAGCACTCTAAGGCGACATTCAACCGGGTTGGAATGTATTAATCAAACTTTACAAAACTGCTGTTATTGCAAACCCAGGTTTCAGTGACAATCCCATGGTCCACAAAGGCGATGAGTAGATTTGTGTCGAGGACCCCCAGTTGCGGGATGTATAGAATCCGTGGTACCTCAGCCTTCTGCCGAATGTAACTGCTCCTTGATGTGAGAGGGCACTGTTAGGACGCCCTGCCAATTAAATTGACAAAGGCTGAGCAATCTTCATTCTCTGTGGCTTTACTTATTCCCGTCAGCGGGCTGCGGGAGAGAAGCAACTGTGCCGGGTGATCCTGATGCCTTCATTTCACCTGAGTGAGGCGGGCTGGGCCATGCACAAGTCTTAGAAGGTCACCCTGACCAGAGAAAATTTAGCTCCTTGCCTATGGTCTGAAGAATGATAGAGAGCAGATATGTGGGGAGACCTGCGCTTCGAATGAGGCTCTTCTGTTTGAAATGACTGTATTTATAAAACTAGAATATCATAAATGGACACTTGTCGTCTTTAGTCTTTTGGCATTTATTTGGCTTCTTTTACAGACTGGTCAATGTACTGGAAGAGAATAATAAGTAAGCTTTGATTTTTTTTTATCAACACTCATACGAATATACATATTGTTGAAGGAATTCAGTCTGTTTTTTCCCATTCCTGAGGCACTATGGGTAGCAAGTAACTGTCTATAAATTGAAATGTACGTACTGCTTTTCTATGTGGCAAGTCTTTATTTTTAAGTGCATATTGACATTTTAAATATTCTAATTTTGTATACAATATCAAGAATATTTTTCTTACAATGTACTCAGTTGTTTTTTTTTTTTGGTGGGGGCAACTTGTGTTGTTACAGTTTAGAACATTTATGACATAATTAATCAGCTTGCTTTTTAATTTAGTACATAATATTGTAAGCATTTATACTTTCAGGTACATCTTATTTTTATTCTGATGCCTAAATACCAAAAAATAAATATGTGGTAAAAATTCTACCTAGAAATCTGATTTTTGTGAATCAGGCTGTAAATTTCTACCTCATGTTTCTCTTGCCATGTACAGGTCTGTTGTTAACAACAGCTGGACCTAGTGGTAGTGTCCAATTTAGATTAGGTCTTAGGCCAATATGTGTTTAAATTCAGTGATGCTGAACCTTGTGAAGTCGGGAAACAGGATGATGATTGTAATTCTCAGAGGCGTTTCGATGTTGTCTTATACCTACCATCATTGTTTTGTCACGACAAGGACGTGCAAGCCAAGCAGTGGCAAGCCATCACCTCCTTCCTAACGGAGGGGGACTTTATTTAGTGAAATGGAGTATAACTATTATCCGACCTTCCCACTAGATTCCAACAACCCTTCCAGGGTCTTTTTGTTTCTTTTTCTGTGTCATTGTACTGACCATGCATAGTAACCTTAATGCAGTTGTCTTTTGCCTTTACTAGACCATGAGCTCTTAGGTAAGGAATCTATCTGAATTTACTTGGCTTCCCAAGTCTTTAACACAAAGCCTAGCATAGTGAAGGTGCAATAAATATTTTATAAAAGGATAAATTTATACTAGAAGAAGATACCTTTATCAGGCATTCACTAGTCAATATTGGTTAGCATCAGAGGAAGGCTAAGAAAATGAGGACGTATGGAAAGTGACTAGTATTAAAAAACTACCTGTATTACTTTCTTCAGCACTAATGGGAAAAATGAGAAGCCAGTGTGTTGTAGGAGTAATATAATACTAGTTTCTTAATACAGAATAATGCAAGTATCAATTATAATTTGTTGTTTTCTGTAAAAATTTTGAGGCACATCTTGTTCTATATACCAGGGGTTTAATAAGAATTTATCAGGAGGATTTTTACCAAGTCATACTTGTCTACACATGTATTTTGAGTTTCATTTAGCATAAATGTTATTCAATTTTAGGTTCCTAATGACTGGCTCATACATTTATATAAAATATATTTTAGGGTAAGGAAATAATTATTATACTTGATTATTTGATAGTGAGACTTGTTATTTTTATCCTTTAACCATAATATATACATTAGTTGGGAGTATCATTTAAATGAGCTAAATCAGTCTCAATAATATTTCCTGTTTAAAAAGTAAATCCAAAATAATTGTGAAAACTAAGGTACTCCAGTGGTGATAGCATATAGATGTCATTTTTGAAAACCATGTTTTGTGAGTACTCTAATTTTTCAAAAAGAAGTTTTGTTCACTTTCAGTTATATACAGCAAATGATGTTGCATTATATCTATAAAGCTAAGTATAAAAATAAACCTTTGGCTTATTTCTAAGCTCTTTCAGCAAATATGATTCATTTAAATAAATAGACCAGCTTATAGGAATGTCAACAGAAAAATAACTATACTAAGTCCAAGTTGGACATTAGTCATTTGCAGTGTAGCAACACGGCTGAGTCTTTACAGGTCGTTTTGTTTTTGAGTCAGCACCCAGCTATGTTGCCGCCTTCCTTCCCTGGCCACGGACCGCTCTGACCGTAATGCAAGTGAGCAATGTTCCCTGAAGATGTGCAAAATCAAGGTGATGAAGTCAGTGATTTTTTTTCTAGTCACGTCTTTTCTCAGTCCAGATTGCTTTTTGGCCTAGCCTGATACTTAGGGCTCTGCCCTGTGCCTACACGGCTGCTGTAATGCTATGCTCAAGAGAACACACTTCAAAGAAAAGCACTAAGAATCTGAAAAAAGGATGGCTTCTGACATCATCATGTTCTCCTTTTCATTATCCTTGGGCATCTGGACAAAACAACATGTTCACTGGAATACTTGACCATGGCTTGGTTTCACAAATAATGCTTGCTTTTCAGTGACCAAGGGGCACCCATGCCCAGTTATGTCCTGGCTGATTTCATGTTGGGGCTGTGCGTCAGTCAACACTGTCCTCAGGCCAAAATAGAATGTAAAGAAGAGTCATGATTCTAAGATAATTTGAAAACTAAAAATATGCGTGCATTAAAAAGACCTTTAGAATTTAAACCTACGGGTTCTTTTTAACTTAACAGATGAAATTTTAAATGTAGTAAAGTTTAAAAAGATTCCATAAGAGAGGAATGATCAGTGTTTCTGGTAGCATTTTAGAAAACAAACCCATGTGACAATGTTAGGGAAGTTTGCTGTTAGGTTACAGTAGACTGTGGACTCAGAATCTTCAACTCATTTTTTGCTCACTTTCTCAACCCCGATATCAAGGAGAGGTAGGTAGCCCTGCTGGAGAAGCCCTTTTGGGCGCTGAACAGCTCCTCCTGGAGCCGACTTCATGTGTGTTTTTTCTTTTTCAGTGCCAGAGTGAAATCATTCAAAAAATAAATATTTAACTTTCTTTTAGAGATTGTCACATTAGGGACCTGATGAAAGCCATTTAATTACCTGGCTTCATCTTTAAAGAACTAATTTTTCTCCCTCAGATGCTGAGAAAGATTGTTAGCTTGTTTATGTCTGTAAATTTTAATGATGAAGTCATATGGGATTAAAAAAAACACCCATATTTTTTCCCAGTCTATGAATAAACATAGAGGAAGTTAATAACTTATTTACCTAAGCTAGCATTTTTTTCTCTTTTTTTAAAGAAAAAATATTTATATTATCTCATTTATTATCAAATTAATTAAAACATCTAAAATATGTCAATATAAGCTTCGGAAACTGTAAATAACTTCAGCAAACAAACATAATCTCTTTCAATTACATTTCTTTATTTTGACCCAATTGCTTTACCTTGCATCACTTTAAAAAAATTTTTTTAATGATTGATTTCAGAGAGAGAGAAAGAGAAACACTGACTTGTTGTTCCACCTATTCATGCGTCCGTCTTTTGGCTCTAGTGTGTGTCCTGACTGGGAATCTGCCCGCACCTGTGTTGTGTTGGGATGATGCTCCAACCAACCGAGCCACCTGGCTAGGGCCAGTCCTTCTTTTTATTTCAACTCAACATTTAATCGCTGGCAAGGTTACTTCTCAGATAACGAGATTTTGTAGTCTTTCATTGCATTTTTCCATGTTTGTATGAACATGTACAGCAGCCATGGTTTGAAGGTTTTTTAAGGATTTCATGTTTACAAATACTCTGCCCTGTTGCCCCCTTAAAATACTCTTGTACTTTATGGATGTTGCGTTCTAAGTTGAAAATAGGATATTTACTTGCATGTTGAAATATGTAATAGAGGCCTTTCTCACACGTAAGGTTATAAATCTGGCTTTAAAGGTGAGGAGGACACGAAGAGATGCATAGTCTTACTATTAAATAATTCATTATGTTAAAGGAAAGGCATGTGGAGCCAGGTGGCAGGAGATGAAAGTGGGAAAGTGGCAGTGGCCACATTTTGTCTTGGTAATGGGGAAGCATTGAAAGGAAGTGACAGGAAACAGTAACAGAGAAATAGTAACACTGTTTCTGTCTTATTTAATCTTCAAAGTAACTCAGGCTTATTGCCCATTTTCACAGATAAGAAAATAATAAAAATAACAAAGCATTGAATGACGTACAAAGCACCATTTAGGCACTCTGCACACTTATCTTGAATTCCTGCAATACCTTTCTACAAGGTAGATATCATTTGAATTATACAGAAGAGGAAAGTACATAGGTCTTAGGTTAAGGATTCTTAAGGATGCAAAGCTAAGTGATGAAACCTGATTTTGGAAGAAGCCCACTTTTAAAAAAAAAAGGTCTTATTTGTTTTCAGAG